GACGAAGGCTACATATGCGTGGACATTGACGAGTGCACTCAAGGCGAATGCCTCCACAGCGAGTGTCGAAATCTTCCCGGCTCCTATGAGTGCATCTGTGGGCCCGACACGGCCCTTGCTGGTCAGGTTAGCAAGGACTGTGATCCCCACACGGCTGTTAATGAAATAGAGGAGGGAGGCTCTGGGGAACCCCCTGTCAGTCCGACACCAGGTTCTCCAACAGGTCCGCCGTCCACAAAGCCAGTGCATTCTGGCGTGCTCATTGGCATCTCCATCGCCAGCTTATCCCTGGTGGTGGCGCTTTTGGCTCTTCTCTGTCACTTGCGCAAGAAGCAGGGAGCTGCGCGTGCGGAGCTGGAGTACAAGTGCGCATCACCAGCCAAGGAGGTAGTACTGCAGCATGTGAGAACTGATCGGACGCTGCAGAAGTTCTGAGGGACTTCGCCCCAGAGACCCAGGTTGCCTTATTCTTTCTTGGTTCAGTACCTCTTCTCTCTCTCAGGCCTCTTAGCTGTGCTCTCTGGTAACTTAAAAGCATCCTGGCTGACATGACAACCTGAGAAGACCCTGCGACATCCTCATGAGAAGCAGGGGTGGCAAGGACTTGAAGCGGGAGAGCCCAGCTTCTTCCAAGTTGATACTGAACAACTGGGCGGAGGTGGCAATTGCACAGTGACAATCAGACTGCAGCGTGCCCCAGTCCTCACCTTACGGTGCAGGATGTGTAGAGGCTGCTAATCTTAAGCCTTTAGGCAAACCTTGACCCCACCGGCTGGAGATGACCCAGATATTTATTTTTTAATCATTCTCTTCCCTTCAGCTTTTCCCTGCCTGGAACTCTCCTGTCTTTCTGTTCCTCCATCCCTTCCCTCCCCTTCACACTTTCTCTTTTTCACTTTTCTCCTCCCCCAAACCTGATTTTACTTTGCTTTTATCCTTCTTTACAGACAAAATTCTTATGTGAAACAGAAAAGAAACACTAAAAACAGGAAGCTTTTTCCCCCACTGGCTTTGGAAATTTAATCGGAAAATTTAGGTTTCCAGAGCAAAATAATTTTAATGAAAGTTAAGATGCTATAGCTAAACACTAGTTAGTATGCTCAAATGTCACAGAAATCAAACTCAAGGAGTTTTTTTTCTTTTAAATTTCATCTTTGTTGTTGAAACAGTGAGCTTGTTTTTTAATTGTTGCTGTTGTTTTGATTTAGAATAACAAAAGGTAATTATTGTTTAAGTTTTTTACACAGTTTCTATAGTGTTACTAATTTTTGACAGTGTTGAAAATGTTCAGATGAGTCTTGGTCCAACGTTTTGATGTTGCAATAGGTCACTGCCATCTTCACATGTATTGGGCCACATTCATAGCTATCCTGGGATGTATGTGGTCCTTAGGCTAGACATATCTGAGATTGACAGACGGAAGCATCTTCCAGCAAAGTTTTGAGTTCTATGCTTTGTGCCTACTTGTCTCTCAACTGCTCTTGTCACTTAATGTCCCAAATAAAGCAGTGGCTGCTTAGGGAGACAAGAGAACTTGGGAATGCAGCCTGGAGGGTGCCTAGATAGGACCTTGTTTAATGAGGCCCTTGGACAACATCTTCTACTAAGGAGGGACCTTCTAGCCCTGGCCACTAGCCTGTGCACAGGGATTGGGACCTCCCTAGGGATCTGGCTAGAACTGCAAAATCCTAAGGACACCCCCCACCCCCCCTTTACAAGAAGCTGCATTTTAACAACGGTTTCCAACTTTCTGGAGAACATTAAATGTCAGTTAATAATAAGTAGCAGGTCATGCTAGGCCATTTATTATCAAGAAACTGAGGAATTTTTCACTGCATAGCTTTGCTTTCTGGCTAAAAAAAATGACTAGGTACACACCTCTAGATATTGCCACACAGGGTCCACAAGGGTTTTGATTTAACTAAGCTGGAACAAAGGCATATGTCAGTGTAAGGAACAAATGTATCATATGTGTATCTTTTGTAAGGAAAGGTTTTTCTTTACTGTTTTGTAAGCTCAGCACATTTGTACATAGCTATTTATTTATTGGAGTTTAGCTAGAACACAGGCAAAGCCTTTGCTTATGACGTCACATGTACAAAATAAACAGATTACAATGAGCTTTTGGGTGTCTCTTGTCCTTCCTTCCTCTTCCCCAGGTCCCCCATTTTATGCCTTATTTTATGCACACAAACAATGCACACTCCAGGAGGTGTACGAGAGGCTGGACTGCACCCTGTCACCTGCTTGCAGCATAGTATCTGACTTTAAATATTGCCCAAAAGCAAGTTATTGCCCATGTAGAAGGAGTTGATGCTATCTCTGTAAGGCGGATATTCATTTTTCATTTGTGTAGCTGCAACAACTTTATACAGGATGTCTCATGTCTGTGTTCTAGACACTCTAGGATCTGAGGCGTCTTTAGCTTCCCAGCTGAGTGTTTTTCTGTGTATGCTTCCACTTTGCCTGTTCGGTTCTCTGACATGGAAAACTTGAAATTATCGTGAGGGAGCTTTGGTGCGAATTCACGAATGGCTTCTGATTGCCAAGGTCATTTCTTCTGGTATGAAACAATCCTTGTCACTGGTCACTGTTGGTAATGACAGGTTGTTTTTGTGACACTGATCTCTAGGGCCCTTTTGGTGGAAAGGTGTAGCCATCTGAAGTTCACATGCTGGAATAGGAAATTTTTCCATGAGGCAAACACGAGAGAAAAAACAGATAAGTAAGATATTCAGGTAATTTTTGACATCCAGGTAGGGCAGAGATTCTCAGTGTTGACCTGTGCTGTTACTGTGGGAAGGCAGTGTGTGTGTGTGTCTGTGTGTGTGTGTGTGTGTGTTGGGGATATGGCTGTATGCATATGTATTCACCCCTGTAGGCACTTGTACAGGTCAGAAGTCAACATCAGGATGTCTTCCTAAATTGCCTGTATTTTATTTACTCATTTTTTATTGAGACAAGACCTATCATTGAACCTGGATCTCACTGACTTCGGGTAGATGACTCCATTAGGATGTCCATTGCTGTCCAGGGCTGGGTTGCAGGTGAATACCACCATGTCAGATTTTGATGTTGGTTTGGGGGACTCTTACCTCAGGTCTTCACACTTGAGCAACAAAGCCCTTCACTGCGACCCCAGGGTGGAGTGTTCATCATGCAGCCCAGCGATCTGTGAGAACGGAGGTGAGATCAGACAGGTGCAACTGCAGGATGCTGGGGGTCCTGAGGAAGGGAAAGAGCCTCAGTGCTGCAGGGCACTCGGAGTTGTTTCTTTAAATCAGGAACTTGCTCTGTTTGGAAATTGTTCAGAAAGAGAATAGAAACTTCTAGACTCAAAAAAAAAAAAAAAAGAGAGAGAGAAATGTGCAGTTTGTCCTGTAGGCAGCCAACAGAGCTAACATAGGATGGGACTATCACAGACACCTTGACCTCACACCAGCCTGATATATGAGCTTACTCAATCTCACAGGCACCCTCCAAAGTTTAAAAATAAGAGCCAGAAGTGCTACCTCGATATGGTTGTATGAGGAATAAAAAGATGAGCAAGCAGTTTCTTGCCCATAGTACACGCTTAATAACTACAAGAGCGTGAGCCCTTGGGTTAATAGATGTTTACATGGATAAAGAAGAGGTAACACCAGAATGGGGAACACCATGGAGGCAAATTCAGGACAGTGCAAGGATGACCTTTAAGGATATATTGCCACTTTGCCCATCAGTCCTGGAGGAACTGAGGCTGTGAATTGGGGCCTTGGTTACAGTTTAAGGGGGGACCTGTTTGCAAGGCGAAAGTGACCTTATAGTAGCTGGGAAATCCAAGCTTTCAAGAGCTCTGGCTTACTTCCTACTTCTAAATCTCAGCAACGTGGAGGGGTCCAGAGACTTCTGCCACTGTTGTGACAAAACGGGGAGGAGAGGAAATGCTCTCAGATGTCGCAAGGAGGAACTACCTCCAGTCTAGATGGTTCTGGCCTCCTATGTAGGTGACACTGGGAGCACTGCTGTGCTGTGGACAAGGTCAGGATCTCGGATGCTACTTCTGTTCTGGGGCCGACCAGTCGTGGATACTGCAATATCAGGAAAATGGGGTTTACAAAGAACACAAAACACAGCATGGTGATTAGGCTCTGAGAAGTTCTCTGAAGTTCAGAGAATGACACAGCTCACACCAGATTTGCTCTTTTTCTTTTCCAGAATGAATGCCTGGCTCAGCACTAACTTTTGCTTCAAGTGATTTCTTCCTCCTTTTTCTCTTGGTCAGCAGGTTTAGACATAAGCAAACAATTGATTTCCTCACTCATGAAAGACTAAATATTGTTTTAACATCATATTCTAACAGAATCAGACTCCTTTTCAGCCTGTTTTGAAAGTGTGATTGCAAATCAGAGAAGAACCCATGGAATGTGTTCCCTCAAGTCATACCTACTTGAAAAGGGGTTGGGGACAGAGGGCTTCAGGGATCCAGGGGAAAGCCCCTGCATTCAAAGCCAGGCTTGTGATAGTTGTGTCCCTCAGACTACAGGCTGGGGGTGTCTGTCTTTAAACCTCTGTCAGAAAGTAATCTGCTGGGAGAGGAAGGGTGGTGGCAGAACCGTCTGCCCCTCCTTCAGAGGCCTCATCACACCAGGATGGCCTTAGCATCTGTCTCCCAGGCCTCAATTGAAAAACCACTTGGCTGGTGAAACAGGGTGAGCTTGTTTGGGTTGAGAGAGAGAGAGAGAGAGAGAGAGAGAGAGAGAGAGAGAGCAACTTTGCAGCGGCAACCCTCATTCTTCTACCTCTGTTTCTCTGTTGCTCTGCTTGGGTTTAGTTTACCTTTGAAACAGAGTCTCACCTTCCATAGACGTAGGCACTATACATCTCGTAACAGTAGCCCCTGGCTTTCCACTTTATGACGTTTGTTGATGTTATCAGAAGACATAGGAACCCACCGGGACGGTCAGGTTCTTGTGGCTCCGAATGAGAAACTTGACTAGGACACACAGACAGTGGTAGAAGCAGAACAAGTTTATTAAGGAAGAAAGCACTTCCAGGGGAGGAAGTGGGCCAGGGCTGGGAGAAAGGTCAGTAGCTCAAGGGTACCCATGTCCTGTCTCACAGATTGGAAGGGACCTTATAGAAGCCACCCCTCCTTTGTGTATTGCACAGGCTCTGTTTGTTACACCTCAGCTTTGGTGGGAAGGGGTCGCTAGTCTTCCCTTCAGCCCTCTAGCCTCTTTCACATGCTAATTTGACCCCAGTCTCTGCCCTTCTCTCCTGCTACAAGTTGAAAATCCTGGTCCACAGGTATAAGCCGCAAACACAAACATCCCAGATTCTTTGCAGATGTTTAACTGCCATCTGGGTTTTCCCTCTCCTCCTAAAAGGTGGTTCTGCAGTAATCCAGCACTGGCAGCAAGAGAAACTGAAGCCTGGTCAGACCGCCTAGAGCGAGATTGCCACAATACCCTCACTGTTCTTTCAGGAAGGGAGCATGGGTTCCTGGCCTGGAAGGAACCACATTCCTCCTCCAGTGTTCCAAAGGTTACAGGTCCATAGGGAATCCGCAGCTTTGCTTTGCCCAGGAACATGTGTATTCAACGTCCCTGTTTCTGCAAAAGCTTTCTGAAATCCACAACACATCTTCCAGGTTTAGAACTAAAAGGCAGGCTGCAGCTGCCTGAGTCTCTGGGCTGAGTTCTCCTTGGTTATAGGAGGGGCCCAGGGCTGGCATAATGGGGGCAGCACCCAAGATTTAGGGAGAGCCTCATTGTAATTTTGCGTGCTTCTTGTCTTCCCTGTGGTCCGCCTCGGTAGGCTACAGATCACAAAGAGAGCAATGAGGATGGGCTCTGTGTCTCTCTTGATTGCGGTGACAACTTCGAAATTGCAACTGTGCATCAGCAGTCATAGAACAGCACACCTGGGAAGGGTGAATTTTCCCTTCGGCAAATGATGTTTTCATCAGAAGAGCAGAAGAGAGATCACTGCCTGCACAAAATGACTAAAGAAAGTCTAATTTGAATAATAACACACAGAGAAGCCTCCACACCACCCTAGTCCCTCCTCCTCACTGTCCCAGGAATACCTGCTACAAGAGCAGGGCTGACTCTATCGTTTTAGCTCATGGGAACCAAATTCCTTCTTTGAATAGTTTGTGTGTGTGTTGCTAGGAATGAAACCAGAGCCTTGCACATGCCAGGCAAACAGTCCACCATTAAGATGCATCTCCAGCCATGGCATGGTTCTTATTTTAGCTTGGAATTCAATTATCCTTTAATTTATATTGTTACTTGGTTAATGCCGGTCTTTGCCAATCATTTCCAAGTTCCACACCATACTGACTCACCATGTTGCCTGGAAGCTGCTTGTGTCACCAAGAGACACCCTCAGCATACTGTCACTGAAGACATCTCCCTGCACATGGACCCAAAAGTCGAGTTTTGGGGTGTGGTGCTGACTAACCCAGCAGCGTTGTTTCAGCAAACACAGACTCAGAATTCTGACATCTATGCTCAGAGAATTTAAGCCTGTACTGTCATTCAGGATAAGAGTGTGAGAAATGGTGGTGAGTTGCCACTTACAATCTACCAGGCAAGTGTCACCAGGTCCCGATTTGCTGGGATTAATGTCGAGATTCTGCGGTAGCACAGACAAAACAGAAGAGCTTAGAATGCAAATCTTTCTTTTGTACATATAGTAAGAGTGGGAAGCAGGCTGGAGAGCAGGAAGTCCTGCTCATGAGCTAGCTAAAGCTGATGCTTTCTTTCTGTTATCATTGGCGACTCTCCAGCTTGAAGGTATTGGCCCCTCAGCCACCATTAATCCCTGTTAAGATCTTGCATTAATAAATGGAATTAGTCTTTTTCCAGGCAAACAAGCATGTCTTGGGGAGGCTGAAAAAAGGAACTCCAGACCCACTCAAACTAGGCAAATTTTGCTACAGTCAAAATTTCCCACTAGGTGATCCTTGCAGTGACGTTCAAGCATATTTATCAGGTGTCCCCTCTGCCAGACATCAGGGACAGAGAAAGAAACAATTTCATCTAACAACTTACAAGAAGTTGCTGTTACTTATGCAAGACCCACAGACTGACTGACTTGTCCTGCATGCCCAGGGTGACTGCGGGAAGTAATGACCAGTTAGGAATGGTATGCGCATGTGTGTAAACGTGTGTATCCATGCTAGTGAAACCAAAGGGGCGGTGCACTATTTAGAGATTTCCAATCCACAGTCGTGGCCTCGGGTATGGAAGAGGTCTGGCAATGCAGTTCTTCTATAGGTAAGGGAAGCTCACCTGGTTAGCAGATCCCGTTGGCTTCCACATACTCCTACACAACCCTCTGATACACCCGCAATCAACATTGTCATTCTTAGGCCATCTAGCTAACTGCATTTGGAGAAGAATCCTACAGTTACATATCCAACACTTAACATAGGCTTCTATCATTTCTACTGTCAGTGAAGAAGTTGGAATTTCTAGCCAAAAAAAAAAAAAAAAAAAAGTTAAGGTTAGTGCTGTAAGGGTCACCATGTGGGGCTGAGACTGTAGCTCAGTGGTGGAGTGCCTGCTCACCCAGCGTGAGGCTCTGAGTTCTCTCCCTAACACTGTATATAAAATGGACAGGGGGTTGCACACTGTCCTCCCAACACCCAGGATGTAGATATCGGAGGATCAGAAGTTCAAGGTCATCCTTAGCTACTATGGCTGATGTTACTTTATGTTACCTTATCTTGTCTCAAACAACAGCAACAGAACAAGCGGCAACAATGACAAAACAACAGAAAGAACAGCATCAACAAAAGAGTCTCCACACTACAAGGACCTGTTGACATTTCCAGATAAGAGAATTCTGAAGACCTGGCCTGGGTGCGCCACTTGGGTCATAAGACATTTGTGCCTGGAACCAGAATTCAGCTCTCTTGTCCATTTCCCACATACCAGGCACTGCTACTGCCACACAAGTCATGGCTCTGGGCAAGCAGCCCAGAAAAGGTCACCTCCTGTTTCTCCCAGGCTCTCGGAGATGCACTTGTAACCCACATGGTGGCAAGGCATTTCCTTAGGCCTTACCCTGCCTCTCGGGCCAGCCTGGATTCCCATTAGCTTCCCAACAGAACTCACGCTGACTGCCCTAGAACACACAGAGATATCTTTTCCAGGATAATAGGTATTTTTCTTTTAAAGACCACCCTTGTCTTCCAGACAGCTGTAGAAACTGCCCAGTTGACTACCCTTGTCTTCCTCCTGCCCCTCTTGACTTATTATTCAAGTACCACCAGCTCGGGGTCAGGGCAACTCAGCAGGATCTTCTGCTGTACAGATCTGGGCTGCAATCAACCAGTCCTCACTCAGACACAGCATCTGCCTGGCTTCTCCCACTCCTGGAGCAGAAGTAAAGCTCTCATAGGCTGTGAATCCTTCTCAGGGGAAAGATCATTGGAGCTGTGGTTAACTTACCAGGCTCACGGGGATGACGCCCTTTCCCTGTGGTCAGCATCTGGTGTCAAAACACAGTCTGTTTCCCCTCCACCCTATTTCTCTGGTCTTTTCCTGACACCCCCTCCCCCACAGCATTACTTGGGCTTTAATGAGGCTTCCTATTCCTGTAGCCAGGGAAGGAGGTGGGGAAAAAGTTGCAGCAGATGAGATTTTTATCCTTTCTGCCTTTTAATTCCTGACCAGAAGTTTTACGCGTTGCAACAACCCCCACATTGTATTTCTATAAACCCTTTGCACTCGCAGGAAGTCTGCTACTGGCCTCTTGACAACCGGGAGACACTTGGGGGGTGACAAAGCAAGTACACTCAGCTGTTGCATAGACCTCTCACTTAGCAACAAGAGTCTCAAACAGACGCAGAGGGAAAGCTCTTGGAGGGGTCTTATCATCTCCTGCCTCGCCATGTGCACTCCCCTACTCCCATAAGGCAAAGAGCCTGCAGCGGGAAGGGGCTCTGCCTACCTCACCCTCCCAGGGCTCTTCCAAGCAGTCACTATCACAAGTCACACAAGGGTAGACATTCCTTTCTGGCTACCTCCTGTTTCTCACCCCTGAAAAAACTACCAGACGTTCAGGAATGGCTGGTACTCTAACCAGTTCCCAGAGGAGTCCTACCCCCACGCAAGTGTCCTTAAAGCCAGTCCTAGGAGAGGGGCTAGCAGGAGTCCTGGGGCTCCTGGAGACAGCACAGACTGCTGCAAAGGGCTGGCTTAGTGAAAACAAGGGTTGTTCTTAAAGTTACTGGGCTGAGAGGGAGGCCATGACCAGTTTGCAGGTGAGCTGAGGAAGGGTGCCAACGGTCTTCAGAAAGTAGTAGTCTTGGTGAAAGGGACTTGCTTGCAGCCAGGTTCTGTTTGCAAGGGCTCCTGCTGGCAGGGCAGTGGAGGGCATATGCATCCTGCACCCCCTCTGCTTTTGAGAGCAGTGGCATAATAGTCCAGGGGCTCTTCCTCTGCACCTCCAGTCGTTTCCAGGAGACAGCAGCGCAGGCACAGAACCCGCTGGAAAGAGCGCCGGAAGTTGTCAGAGAGGAAGCCATAGAGAATGGGGTTGGCACAGCTGTTGGCATAGCTGAGGATGAGGGACACATGGTTGACTGTGGCATCGAGGCTGGTGACAAACAGATTCAGAAGCTGCACAACATAAAAGGGCATCCAGCACAACACAAAGACGGTCACTACCATCAACACGAGCCTCGTAATCTTCTTCTCTGAGCGCCTCCGTTGCTGCCAGCCAGCCCGCAAGGCCACCGCACGCATCTTGCCCACAATAAGCAGATAGCATAGACCGATGGCCAGAACCGGGAGTAGGAAGCCCAACAAAAAAGTATAGATCACGAAGACTGCAGACCAGGCTGGGTGAGGCCAGTGCAGATTGCAAGCCACGGCCTCGCCCCCGCGAGCAGGCCTGGTGTCAGCGAAGACTGCAATGGGCAGGGTGACCAACAAGGATGCTAGCCACACTCCCAGGTTGATTAGCTTGGCCACGCTGGGCCGCCGGTAGGTGGCGGCGCGCAAAGGGTGCACTACAGCCACATAGCGGTCCACGCTGAGCACGGTGAGGCAGAAGACACTGGTGAACATGTTTAGGCCGTCCACGCTAAGCACTGCGCGGCACAACACAGCCCCGAAGGGCCAGTGGCGCAGGGCGGCCGCCGACGCCACGAATGGCACGCTCAGCATGAAGAGTTCGTCGGCGACCGCCAGGTTGAGCAGGTAGATGTTTGTGGCTGTCTTCATCTTGGCATAGCGTAGGATCACGAAGATGACCAGGGCGTTGCCCACCATACCCACCAGGCACACGAGCGCATATATGCACTGGATAGTAACCATGCCCGCTGTCCCTGTGCTGTCGGACCGCACCGCATCTCCCTCGTCGTCCGGAGCGCTGCTGGCGTTGGTCCCAGGGGTCCAAGTGATGTCCTCGACCCCGGGGGGCAGTGTTGAGGGCACGTTCATGCTTTGGGGGTACTTACCCCAGGCGCCGGAACACGGTGGAGCAGCTGAGCGGTGCGCCAAGGACCAAGCAGCGGGTTGGGGTCGCGCGCACAAGCTCTGCTCCACCGCTCCGCCTAAGTAGCGCGCGGGGCCCGCGAGCGCCCTCCAATCCCCGCGCTGCCGCGCGCCCCCCGGCCGCGGGAGCTCCGTTCGCCCTTCGCACGCCCCTCCCTCCACGAGCCGGGTCTCAGGTGCGGTCTGTTCTGCCAGCGGAGCTCTAGGCTCTACTCAGGCTTCTCCTACCCGCAGTCTCCTGCCAGGCTGCCAGCTTTGCCCTCACGCCAAAACTCTGCTGTGTCCCTAGATCACACCCCTCCCCTCAGCCTTTCAGATCCTCTCCCCTTGGGATCTTGGTTCTCCACAACCACGACCTGTTAGCTACCAGCAGTTCTCTGGATACTCAAGTATCCGGAGTCGTCCCAGATTGTCCAAGCGTGCAGGGGCATCATCCTAGCATCCTCCCCTGCCCTTCAATTTTCAAAGAAGTCCTGTATTCATCCTCCTAAAACTCACTCTAGGGATGAAGGAAACTGAAGCTCCCTATGGACATCTTGGTGATTTCCAGGTCCGTCAGAGGCTCTCGGTGTGTGTATGGGCTATGTTTATCTTGGTTCTCGCTCTCTCTATCTCGGTGTTCTTTCTCTCTCTCTCTCTCTCTCTCTCTCTCTCTCTCTCTCTCTCTCTCTCTCTCTCTCTCTCTCCTGGCAATTACGATACTGCCCGCCCCCCCCAAACCTTTTAAGTTGAATCTGTGCAGAATTAGGTCCTCAGGAAATGGAGAGGTATACGGAGAGCTAAAGATGACCCCCCAAAGAAAACTAACTTTGGGCAGGTGAAGTGACTCAAGGATAAAAGTGCTTGTGCCCAAGTCTGAAGACCCGAATCCTATCCCTGGGACCCATGAGTAGAGAATTTTCACTTTCACTTCCCATTGTGGCATGCATGAACCTGCCTCCTATAAATAAATAAATAAATAAATAAATAAATAAATAAATAAATAAATAAAATATATTTATTTTTAGGAAAAGAAAGTAACTTCTGTCTCTGGAGTGCTTAGAGAGCAGGTAGAGTCCACTAGTACAGAGGCCTGATGGCCACCCCTTTGCACTGATCTGTGGAGGTCTGCCACATTACGGGTCACAATGTCCCTAGAGAGGAGGGTGGTCAGGAAAGATGGCTTCCCAGCCTGAGTTTCCTCTGCCTCCAAACTCTAGAGCAATCTCACCGCTAGCCTGTTAACAGGTAGCCCTCCATTTCAGCCCTGGATAAACTTCTCACACAGAGCCTCAGAGGAGGGCTGGTCCTAAAGGGCATGACTTCATTTATCTCCTCTTCACAGATCAGGATGTAAAGTGACACCCTAGCTGCCTGGGAAGTGGGGAGCTCCCAGGTCCTGTGCTATGTGGCTGGGACAATTGTTCAGGAGATGGAGCTATTTTAAATGCTTCAGGACCACTGGCCACCGGGGGGCCTTAGTGGGAGGGTTGGAGACTGTTGCCATGATCCATTTAGGTGTGGGCTAGGGGCACAGATGTGGTTAGTTCTGGGCAATAGAAGAGCAGGCCTCCAAATTTGTTCTGGCTTTGCTCACCTGAATGGACTGATATGTGGCCACACAGTCCTTCACCCCTTTTGTGACCACTTCTTAAAGGCGTCTTTCTTTTCCTTTGGTCCCATTGTCTCCATGGGAGGAAGTGGTGGGACCTGAACCCTCAGAAAGAAAAGCAGTGGAGTAAATTTAGGAGGAGTTGCTGTGCTCTCTCTATAACTCTGGACTCCAGAGAGACTTTCAAATAGCCCTTCTGCAGATCACTTCTGGTCCCCAGTCAAGGAGGTTGGATGACTGTCCCACCACCCTGGACTCCCCTCCTCTGTTGTCCTCTCACCCATTGAACACTCAACACCCTCTCTTCCTGGAAAAGTCTTTCCTGTTGTCCTCCAGTGAACTTTTGGAATCTTTTCGATTCTTCTCCAAAGGTTCTCTCCTGGCACTTCCTACCTGTTTACCCTGTGCCTCAGGCTCTGAACATGGATCAAGACTGAAGTTCAGTGACGGGGGGCGGGGGGGACCATCTTGGCTTTTAAAAGTTACTCCCCTGAAATGAAGTTTACTTGATGCCAAGAGGCCCCGCCCACAGTACAGCACTGTAGCAATGGTCAAATATCCTGTGGATAGGAAACAGGAAGTTGGGAAACATGACTCTTTTGTGGTTTGAATGTGAAATATCCCTTGGTGGTGGCATAAAATTTTGTTGTTTCATACTTATAAGTGTTTGGTTGCACGTGTATGTGTTACATGCATGCCTGGTGCCTTCCAAAAGCCAGAAGAGAATGTCAGATCCCTGGGAACTGGAGTTTCAAATGGTTGTGAGCTGCCATGTGGGTGCTAAGAATAGAGGACCTCTGGAAGAACAGCCAGTGTTCTTAACCAGTGAGCCATCTCTCTAGCTCAGCTAGTGCTGGTAGTAGTGTGGGTATATGTGTCTTTGACGGGCATAACTGGATTCCTGTCTTTTCCTGTCCCTTTGCTTTCTGTCTGCTATGAAGTGAATAGCCCTAACCAGCTGTCATGACATTCTGCCTCCACACAGAATCAATGGACCAAGAACTGTGGACTAAAATTCCTCAAATCAATTAAAAATAAATCTTTCCCAGTGTAACTTGTTATGGCAGTCATTTGGTCACAAGAAATGAATATGAGGTCTGGTATGGTCTTTGTTTTTTAAGTTCAGAAACAAATCCCGAGATTGAAGTTCTGATTCTGCTGATAGTTCTGGGTGAGAGGTGAAGCCTGTTCAAATTCTGGGTGTTTCTAGAACATATATGTCATTATATTACTCCGAGTCCTGGCTCCACTGTGCACCAGTCAATCATCTTGGGCAGGTCATCTACTTGTCTGAGCATGTCACCATCCTACATAAATGGGAATCATCCTAGCCCTCTCTCCAAGTCCAAGGAGGTTGACATACTGGAACTGTTAGAAGTGTCTGACATTGTGGGCATGGTGGCACATATCTGTAATCCCAGTGTTTGGAGGGTAGAGACAGGAGGATCAAGGGTTCAAGGCCAACCTGTACTGCATAGTGATTTCAAGACTAACTGAGTACATGAGGCCATATACCACAAGAGAAGCAACATAAAAATATAACAATTACAACATGAAAAGTGTCTGGCACTGAGAAACTCTGTGACCTCATACCATTAGTTCACTGGTATTCGGTGGTTCAGCACACTAGACAACATATTACTAAGCTTTTTGTTATTATGACAATTACCCCAGGTAAACAGTTTTTGAAAAAGCATGGTTCATGTTAGAGCCTCCACCACATTGGTTGAGTACCTGGAAGGGGGATTGGCCTGTTACTACAACAGGAGAGGAGGCCTAGGGGAATATTCATCATGAAGAGCAGTTGGGTTTCAGGAGGAGAAAAGGCTCTCTCAGGCACAGGGGTTTTTAGGCTGCTCCAAGTATCCAGATGCCCAGGATTAGATGGGGAAAGAGGATAGCATTCCCTACCGAGTTTACCTTTCCTCCCCTTCCTTTCAGTGTGGCTCTGGAGTAGGAAGAATTGAGGAGTGGAGAGTCCTCATTTCACAGCCCAGGGCTGCCTAAGACTCCCTTTTCAGATCACAGTGCCCAGGAAGGCTTCACAGGCTCTTGAGAGCTGCTTCTGTTACTGGCTGATGAGTAAAAACCTTTGAAAGTGCTCTCATCTGCTCAGCTTTGCTGCCAGCGGCTCCGCTGCTGCTCAGGCCAAGAGCCTGGTCTACTCAGCTCCAAGCCCTGAGATCTTGAAGTGCTTCATAGGCACTTCCACCAGCAGATGGAGAGAGCACCTTCTAATGTCATGTCACAGAAATTGCAGTGATATCTGGAGAGAAGAATTGCACAGTACCACCGAAGATTCAATGCACACACCAAGGGCCTTTCTTAGACTCCGATCACAGAATAAGTATCCCTAACCCCAAATATGACATCTGAAATGCTCTAAAACTTGGAACTTTCAAGCACTGACAGAAGTAGGAAATTCCACAGAATCGATTCTGTTTCATGAGCAAAATTCATTTGAAAATTACATAATATTCCCTTCAAGCTGTATGTATGAGGTATATATGAAACAAATGAGCTTTGCGTTTAGATTTGGGTCCTATATCATTATGTCCATTTAAATATTTCCAAATCTGAGAAAAAAATCCTTGAAAAGAGATAGCAGGCCTCAACTTACTGGCTTCCTTTCTGAAATCCTAGGCAACGAAAAGGTCTGTGACATGAGGTTTGCTACACAGTTCTGTAGACTCTGCCATCCGTCCCTGGGAGCCAGGCTGCAGCCCCTCCCGACATGTGAGCACCATGCCAGAGGCCTTGCTGATCGCCTCTGCTGCAGCCTGTCCTCAGGGCTTCTTGCAGACAGTAGAATAATTGGCAGGCAGAAGCAGGGGTCTTGGTTCTGAGCACAGTTACCGGAAGTCTGGACTGAACTTGGAGATCTCTTTTGTTGTCCTTGCTGTTTTGAACAATCCCTTGCCGTGTAGTCTAGGCTAACCTCAGACTTGTAATACTGCTGTCAGAGCCTTGCGATTTCTAAGATTACACGTGTAGGCGACTACACCCACGAGAGGAATGATTCTCCAAGAGTAGCCCTGGGCCATTCATAGCCTACTCAGCACCCTACCCGCAAATCTGAGAGTGTTAAACGGGGTATAGCAGGACATGACTGAAATCCTCCCCGTTGGCAGGCTGAGGTAGGAGCATTGGCAAAATCCGGAGGCCAGACTGGGCCACATTGTAAGATTTTGACTGAAAAACAATAACAGACCAACAAATAAATAACACCCAAATGTCCTAGTTCAAATGTCCCCTTTGAGCTTTGTTTTCCCTGGCTGGGTCACTTCCTGGACATGAGCAGTGGAAAGAACATCTCCATAGACTCATCTGAAAGCTCTGGGTCAGCTTTGGCCACATAGGTTATAAGAACTCAAGCATGAATGTCAGGTGCCAAGGTTCTCTGCCAGATACACATAGGATTCAGGACAGCAAACAAACAAACAGCAACAAAAACAATGAATGTGTCTTAGTCTTTAAAAAAATATTGGTGGCAGAGGCGGAGCGGCGCGGTGGCCAGACGCGCAGAGGCGGAGCGGCGCGGCGGCCAGACGCGGCGGAGCGGCGCGGCACACAGGAAGAGGCTTTAGGGGACCAGCGCAGCTGCAGACCCAAGCAGCAGGGACAGGCGTGCAATAAGGAGAGCAGTTCGCCCTACTACAATTGAATCAAAGAGGTAGGCTTTTGGTTGGCCAGGTCACTGGCACAAGGGGAGCCTGGTCCTGTCCTGAAGATCCTTCGGAGGGGTGAGAGGGTTCTTGGCCTGCAGCAGGAACCACGAAAGAGAGTGAGGGCATTTTGTAAGCGGAGCCCTTGGCCAGCAGGGAAACCTGATCCGGCTTTTAAAGGACCC